TACACATAAAAATAATCTTTAAAAAAACTTAAAAAAAATAAATAAAAGAATTAAATAGTCCAAATTCATGGCATTGCTTTTTAAAAATACAAGCAGGCTGGAGAGAAGACTCAGCGGTTGAGAGCACTGACTGGTCTTGCAGAGGGCCCAGGTTCGATTCCCAGCATCCACATGGTGGCTGTGAACTGTCCTTAACTCCAGTTCCAGGAGAATACGAACCCCTCTTCTGACCTCCGCAGCATTGCATGACACAGTGCACTCACATACATGCAGGTAATACACTCATACACATAAAATAAAAATAATAAATAAAATATTTTTTAAAAAGCTGGTGTGTTGAAAAATAAACAAGATCAATGAACCCTTGGCCAAATTAACCAAAAGAAAAAAGTCAAATGAATAAAATTGGAGCTAAAAAGAACATTACAACAGATGCGAATGAGATTCAGAAAATCATAAAGAGGTACTTTAGAAACTTATATTCCACTAATTTGGAAAATCTAAACAAAATGGATGAATTTCTGGATGGCTATGACCTGCCAGAGTTAAAATAAGAGAGGTCAAGAATTCAAATAGATTTGTAGCAAGCAGTGAGACTGAACACAAAATCTCCCAGCTAAACAGCCCACACCCAGATAGATCCAGTTCTTTAAAGAACCAGCACCAGCACTTCTCAAGCTAGTCTATATAACAGAAAAGGAAGGACTGAGCAAGCTCTTTTCATAAATCCAGGAGTATTACCCTGACTAAAGCCAGATAAAGACAAAACACACAGAAAAAAAATTACAGACCAATCTCCCTGATAAACACAGATGCAAAACACTCAAAAAAATATTTGAAAACTGAATTAAAGAAACAAAACAGATTATTTATCATGATCAAGTTGCTTTCATTCCAAAGATGCAGGACTGATTTAACATATGCAAACGGATAAGTGTAACACATCACAAAAATGCACTCAAGAAAACACATGGACGCAAAAAAAGGCTTCTGACAAAATGCAACATCCCTTCATGAAAAAGCCCCAAAGAGACCAGGAATAGAAGGAACTTATCTCAATATAATAATAATATGACAAACCTACAGCCAGTATTATATAATTGGGGGAAGCAAAGCATCTTCGTTAAAATCAGGAAAAGACAAAGGTATGTGCTTTCTCCATTCTTATTCAATATAGTGCTTGAAGCTAGAGCAACAAGAAATAAAAGGAATAGAAATAGGAAAAAAAAACCAACCCAAACTAAAGTGTATTTATTTGCAGGTGATATTGATTATATACATAAGAGGTCCTAAAGATTCCACCCCAAAAATTCTTAGAGCTGATAAACACTTTCAGGAAAGTGAGAGAAAACAAAATTAACACACATAAAAATCACTAGCCTTCTTATACACCAGTGACAAACATACTAAGAAGGAAATCAGGGAAATAGTACCATTCGCAATTGCAACAAAACAACAAACACTTTGGAAACTATGATGGTTTGAATGAGAATATCTCCCCTAGGCTCCAAGTATTTGGACATTTTGTCCCCAGTTGGTGGTGCTGTTCTGGGAGGTCCTAGAAGGTGTGGCTATGCAGGAGGAAGCATGTCACTAGGGGCAGGCTTAGAGAGTTCTTAAGGTTTGTCAGACTCTTGAGTTACTCTCCTTTCCAGTACGTGCTCCAAGATGTAAATAGAGCTTAGCTTCAGCTCCTCCTCCAACCAGCTCTGCCCTATGCCTCCCCACCTTGATGGACTCCTGCCCCTTTGGAACCTTAAGCTAAATAAGCTCTTCCTTCTATGAGTTGCTTTGGTCAGTGTTTCTATCACAGGAACAGAAAAGTGACTAATACAAGGGGCCAAGGAAGTGAAAGATGAAAATTTCACAAGGGCTTTCTGAACAGGACTCTAGCCAGTCGGGAATAAGGATAACAAATGAGAAATGGGATCACATGAAATAAAAAAGCTTCTTACAACAGTGAAAGCAGTAACTGGGTGAAGAGACTGCCTACAGAACGAGAGAAAATCCTTATTAGCTATACACCTGAGGAGCCTAAATATAAAAAAGAAACTCAACCAAACCAACCCAATCAATAAATGAATTAACAAAATGAACAGAGGGTTCTTTAGAAATGAAACAAAATGCCCAATAAACACACAAGAAAGCATTCAATCTCACTAATCAGAGAAACACAAATCAAATGAACACTGAGATTCTATCTCACCCCAGTCAGAATGGCAGTCATTAAGAAAACAGGGCTGGGGCGATGGCTCAGTGGTTGCAGCCCTGGCTGCTCTTGCAGAGGTCCTAGGTTTGGTTCCCAGCACCCACATGGCAGCTAACAACCACCTGTAACTCCAGTTCCAGGGGATCAGATGCCCTCTTCTGGCCTCTGTGCACACTCATGCATATGGTGCAGTAACATAATGCAGACAAAAACACTCATATACATAAAATGAAAATAAATAAATCAAGAAAAAAACTTTTAGACGAAAACATCAACAAATTCTTGTGTGGATGTGGATAAAAGGGAACCCTTATAACAGTGCTGATGAGAATACAAACTAGTCCAGCCACTACGGAAATCAGCGCAGCAGTTCAGAAATTTCTCAATAATTAACAATTGGGGTTGGCAAGATGGTTCAGTGGGTAAGGATGCAAGCCTGAAGTCCAGAGTTAAATACCCAGAATCCACATAAAGATGGGAGAACCAATGCCCCCAAATTGCCCTCTGACCTACACACACACACACACACACACACACACACACACGTTAAGAAAGACAAATTAGTCTTTAAAAAGAAATGTTGGGTGTGGTGGCATATGCCTTTAGTCCCAGTACTTGGGAGGCAGAGGCAGGCAGATCTCTGTGAGTTCAAGGCCAGCTTGGTCTCCTTAGTGTGTTCCAGGACAACTTGGGCTACAGGGAGACCCTGTCTTAAAAAGATAAAAAACAAAAAACAAAACAAAACAAAACAAAAACCCCAGCAACCTAACATTTGATCTTCCATGTGATCTAGCTAATACTATTTCTATGTATTTACCCAAAGGACTCTAAGTCAACATACAGAGCATCAATACTTAATGCAGCACTACTCACAATAACTATGTTATGAGCCAACCTGGGTATGTGAGAGGAATGGATGAAGAAAATGTGGTATGTAGATACAATGGAATTTTTTCAGCCATAAAGAACAAAATCATGTCATTTGTGGGAAAATGGATGAAACTGATGATAATCATATTAAGTTAATTAAACCAATCATGGAAAGACTAATGTATTGTCTCTCATTTGTGGCTCTAAGATTTTTAATACATAAATAAAATCATGTATGTGTATGACACAAAAGTGTAAGTGAAACTGTCAGAGAGCATCAACAGAGAGTGCGATGAAGGAGCATGTCCAAAGTATAACATATATTTAGATGATTTCTTTAATAAAAAAGAATGGTGAACATGAAATCTGGCAAAAATTGGCAATGCATAAGGTGAACATTTGCCTCAAGGATTTCCACTCTGTTCAACAACAAACAAACGTGTATCTCTGTGAGAGGATTATCAGGAACCTAACAGCACAGAACCTTGTACTTGATAGATGGGTAGAGCGCTTGGAGCAGAACAGTTGTAGAGGTTAAGGGTGCCTACTGTGGTCCTCAAGTTGGCCTTTCCAAAGGGAGGATGCTCCCTTTCTGTACAGGTGAGTTGAATGCCCTTCACTCTTCCACAGAGGGATTAGTGCAGGGGCACGTCTGGCCTTACTCTGGTCTCTCACTGGCTCATTGCTCCCAGGGGAGGAAAGAGACTAACGGATAATGTTCAGAGGTGAAACTGAACATACCATCTCGGTGCGGCAAGGTTAGCAAGACAGACTAACAACAAGGGAATGCTTGTGCAGTGCCAGGGCTGATTTTCCAAGTATTTTAATAGGCAGTTCCGCACTGGGTCAACAACCAGAACCTGCACTGATAGGCTAGTGCCACCCCGAGTTCAGTCCAGGAGACTTACCTGGGAGAGCTATGCTGGGGCCTTATTTCCCACAGCCCAGCCTTTTCAGGCAGAGACATGCCATTCTGATTCCTCCTTTTCCAGTCTTCTTCTCTTTTGTCCTTTTATTTTTTTATGACAGGGTTTGGCTATGTGACTGACCGGCCTTGCAGTGACCTTCCCACCTGTCTCTCCTGCGTGCTAGGCTGCACATGTGCCACCACACCAGGCTTTCATTTCTATTACTCTCACTTTCCTGCTTTAAGTTTATTCTGGATTTAAGGCGGAAACACAGCGATGCGATGCACTATTATCCGTCCCCCCCAACCCCTTGGCAGCTTTTGACATCCCATTTATTAGCTGTCATTTCAGGTGAGACTTTTAAGGTGGTACTAATACACCTGAATTCACCGAAGCTTATACTTTGGACTGTGGCGTGAAGAGAATAAAAGACAGGATGTTTAGTGACCTGCTTCACTATGAGCACGGATAGACTGTGAAGACAAATGGGGTGGGTGGGGTGGGGCTGGGAGGGAACAGAATTTGGGAAAGAAAGTAATGAAACTTTGGGATCAAGCAGGGTACTCATTACTCTGAGTCAGCAAACCTGGCCTCAGGTTCTGTTTTGCATAGCCACACCCATTCAATTACATAGTGGCTATTCTGCACTCTACAAGGGCACAGGAGTAGCTTCCACATGGCCTGAAATATTGTCTATATTGTTCTTTTACAGAAAAAGTTTGTAGAGATTTGGCCTATATGGAAAGTAACTCTAACAGCTCATAGATGAAGGGAGTAAGTGAGATGCCAGGAAGGCAGGATCAAGGAGTGTGTTCAGAGCCATATGTACAGTGACGAAGGAGAAGGAAGAAAGAAACAGGGTTAGAACAGCGCTGTGCTTATCCAACGGGATCCCTCCTTACAGGAAGTGACACCACAGCTCATGTCTACTTGGTAACTTCCTGGAGGGTGAAGAAAGTGGACTGCTTTCAAGTCTTTCAGAACCAGTGACACATCAAATATAAAACACAAGCACCAGTAATCAAAAATGTTTTAATGATTAATGTTTAGACACTATTTAACAGTGTGGGTATATCCAGATTTAAGCACAGGTTGACAGCACACTACTGCATGTTACAGTTTCTGTATTGAAATATGTTAAGACATCTGCAAACTAGTACCTAGGAATGAAGACACTTACAAATATACACATTCTAGATTTGATAAGGTAAATGTAAACAGATGCTGTGACTCCTTCCAAACAGAAAACCCACAAGACTAATAAGAGAACCAACTGGCTCCCTATAGTATGAATGTGCAAAATTAAAGCATGGTAAACTGATATTTACATAAATATCAAACCCACAATTAGTTTATATATTGTCAATGATCTCCTAAGATGTGTCGTCAGTGGCTCGATGAATATTATTCAATGCAGAAGATATTTAGAGGCTAAGCTTTCAACACCGAGTCAAGACTCCTTACCTGTATGTCCACCTCCTCAAGTGTACAAGACATGATTTTATGATAAGCAGTCTATTACTTTTAAACAAGCGCTTCTAAACAAATCTTTAGATTCTAAGCAGAAAAAAATTACAGATGCTGCAAGATTTACATTAGACAAGTTACCACTATCCAAATATGCCCAGTTCTTACATGCCCTGGCTACCTCTTTAACTTTACCTCAAAAAATTTAAGGTGCTTTCTTTCTTCTTTGTAAATTTTGGTAAATTAGGCACATTTAAAAAGGGAGTTTATGTCAAAACAGCACTGCAGAAAATAATTCAAATTTGGACCCTGGCAACCAGTTCCCCACTGCTCTTCCAGGGAACTGTGGAATGGGAAATTATAAAGTATTTTCCCTCTCCTGCAGTGGTGCAAAGATGGACTTTTTGTTTCCTGTATAAAAACACTTCAGAAATGAAGAACGGTCTACTCACCCTCCTGTCTCCCTAGAATCTGGGGGACAAAGAGTAGACATGTGAGATTCTTCAAGACTTTTAAAAACACATTATTAATAATGGCACTCAAAATAAAAAAATAAGATCTGTTAAAAGGTTAAACTGACTGTCCCACTAGTTTTGAGCTTGCTTGTTAAAAGCCAGTATCATAGAACTGAAGGTGCCACTTCTGATTTGACATCTGTAAGTCCCTTGAAGTTACATGTCACACACCAGTTTCATGAATCATGTCTTTGACTTTTCTAAACAGAGCTACTACAAATGAATACAACCTGAAACATACCCTAATTTCAACTAATAAGCTTTGGGCCCTGCTTTTTAAATCTTAAGGCATGTGTGTTTCTCTACTGTTAACAACATTGTACAAATTTACATTTACAAACACATGCACGGTCTACAGTTAAAAAAAAGTTTGGATTACAGTGTTTTAAATTGTGAACCACAATTCAGCACCTATCGTGTTATAACTAATAAGGCAACAGCAGTGTCATATACTACAATAATATTCCCTTTCCACAGTCTAGCGTGGGGGTCAATGAGAGCCCGGAAATGTGAGATATCTTATGCCTACTTGTATAATCTGTATACTAGTCTAGGGAATTTGAACTGATGAAAAAGATCCTACATAAATCACACTACAGTAGGCCAGACTAGTGACAGCAGCTGTTACGCGCGTCAGGGCACAACTCGTACTGTGCTTACAATCAATTGCGTGGTCTGGAGGTTTGGGCACTGCTGCCTCAGTCTTTCCGTTGCTTCCTCGGCTTCAAGCTGTTCTCCAGGGAAGGTAAGCTGTTGGTGTGTCCATTGGCAGCGGTCAGAGACCCGTTCTGGTGGTCCTTCAGCTGCTCTTTCCTCCGAGAAGCCCCTTTCTTGTTGTAAGTCTGAAATGCATAAGGGCAGAAGAGGGCCTGGTAGACACAGGAAGCAGAGCTGGCGGTTGATCTCTATCTAGGCGTGACTTCCTCGCATGACAAATCTTACTTAAAATGCTTGTGGTCAAATTACTACTTTCTGCCACTAGTTTCAATCACGCTTCCACTTTGTTTGAGGCTTAGTTTGTAAGTTCTCTGACTCCTAGACCACAACAGAACATTTAGAACAACACACAGTAGGCTTTTCAGCATCTGGATGGCAAAGACGGGGGCTATGCAGCCAAATTTGCCTTTAAAATACCTTATTGCTTCAACTACCTCAGCCCTCACGTACAAAGTGCTATTATGAAACTGTCATAGCCTTTAACTTCCCTGACCTGGAGTAGGTGCCACAGTGTAGTCATAAGCTGTTAAGGCCAGCAGCACATGAAGTCAACAAGCCACTCACAGGGTCATAGGGACACAACAGGAAAATAAGTGGCCGAGCTTCCAGGTGGCTGCTCCACACCACTGTCTTTCCTTCAGGACCCATGACTTCTGTCCTTGCTCTCGACCTCCTGCTCAGGTCACTGGACCTGCAGCTACTTGGCCCTGGCCACAAACACAGGAGGATCAGCAGGATCTGCCAACTAGCCAGAGACAATCTGAGTAAAAACCTCCATCATCACATCAGGTAACCTCCAAATTTTAGCAGTGGGTGTCTGAGCAAAGTGGGACAAAATGTTTCTGTTGTATCAAAGGATGGTAAGGGAAATTTCACTTAGCCATGACAAGCAGGGCAGTGTGCTGAGACTTACGATTGAAAACCACCTCTTTATAGCTTTGTGCCAGGCAAGAGAAGGAATAAAGCACCCTGTTTAGCATTTCCACCTGAGTTCCCAGATGCTCAGGTCTAGGCTCTAGAGCACAGCTAGCCACCCTTCGTTCTCATAAAGGCGCCATCAGAGCTGGCATCCACTGGTGGCTCCACACTCCTAATGAGTGAGAAGATGAAGGTCAGGTACCAGTGAAATGTGAGATTTACCTCAATGTAGAAGTTTGTGAAGAAAGCAATCAGGGAAATCATGTATCCGATCTGGAAATACAACCATCCAAAAGGGAAGTCACATGGCCAGATGATGCCACAGATAGTCTGGATGATTGTCAGTACAAACTGAACCTGGAGAAGAGAAAGGTCATGGCTGAGTAGTGACCCTGCACAGACAGGGTTCCAGCCAGATAGACCATGTATGCAGCACCTCAAGTTTCTGGATTAAGAATGCCAGCTTTCTGTAAATATATATCTATATCCCTATCTATCTATCTATCTATCTATCTATCTATCTATCTATCTATCTATCTATCTATCTATCTATCTATCTATCTATCATTAAGCTGTTGACTAATTTAGATTTTCATTGTGTCTATTGTATCATATATATATATATATATATATATATATATATATATATATATTGTCCTGGAACTTGCTATGTAGACCAGGCTGGCCTCAAACTCACAGAGATCCACCTGCCTCTGCCTCCCAAGTGCCGAGATCAAAGCCGTGCACCACCACACCTGGCACTGTACTGTTTTATGCTAAACTCTGTATATGCACACATCTTCTGTAAGTTCTTCCTGTTCCCTCCAAGCTACTTAAGCCACCTTTCTCCAGAATTCAAGCACAGAGCAACAGAGATGCAAGAGTTGTTTAAGTACTTTATTAAAAAAATAAAAGGAACAGTGAAAAGTGTATGTTTAAAGGCGACATCACTCACAAAGCATAACCTGACAGACAAGCTCCCAGTCATCTGTTTACAGTATGATCTGCCGGACATCTTTCCTCTCCTCATGAATGTACAGTATGATTTGAAAACTTCCTACTGCACTCCTCATCCCTATACACTATGATCTGACTGACATCTTCCCACCCCTCATGTGTGTACAGTATAATCTGACTGAGAAGCGTCCTGTTCCTCAATTGTGTACAGTATGATCTGAAAAGCATCCTGCTCCTCATGTATGTACAGTATGATCTGACTGACAAGCATCCTGCTCCTCATCTGTGTACAGTATGATCTGACAAGCATCCTACTCTTCATGGGTATACAGTGTGATCTGACTGACAAACATCCTGTTCCTTGTCTGTGCACAGTATGATCTGACAAGCATCCTACTCTTCATGGGTATACAGTGTGATCTGACTGACAAGCATCCTACTCCTCATGTGTATACTGTATGATCTGAGTGATAAGCATCCTGCTCCTCATTTGTGTACAGTATGATCTGACTAACAAGCATCTTACTCCTCATGTGTATACACTATGATCTGCCTGACAAGCATCCTGATCATCTGTGATAGTATGATCTGACAGACAAGCATCCTGCTCCTCATCTGTGTACAGCATGATCTGACTGACAAGCATCCTGCTCCTCATCTGTGTACAGTACAGTCTGACTGACAAGCATCCTATTCCTCATGTGTATAGAGTGCGATCTGACTGACAAGTATCCTGCTCATCTGTGTACAGCATGATCTGAATGACATGTTTCCTACTCATGTGTATACAGTATGGTCTGACTGGCAAGCATCCTGCTCATCTGTGTACAGCATGAGCTGAATGACATGTTTCCTACTCATGTGTATACAGTATGGTCTGACTGGCAAGCATCCTGCTCATCTGTGTACAGCATGAGCTGAATGACATGTTTCCTACTCATGTGTATACAGTATGGTCTGACTGGCAAGCATCCTGCTCATCTGTGTACAGCATGAGCTGAATGACATGTTTCCTGCTCCTCATCTGTGTACACTTTTGGTGTGTTGAAAGCTGGTGAGAACATTTAAACTGTTCTTGACAAAAAGAACTGCTAGTCCACAGCTGATTTCTGGTGGGATTTCGAAGAGCAGGTGGAGCTGTTTGGAGACACAGTATAGAAGTGCTAGAGGATGGGGACTAGTGAAGAGGTCCCTTCAGGAAGAGCAACAGAGGGTGATGACAGCCAAGGACATGTCAGCCCAGTGAGGCTTTGGATGCTGCCGGCCTTTTTGTTTTTTCTTTTCCTTGACTTTCTTAAGGCTAGTTCTCTAGGATGAGGAGTAACTAGGCAGATGGCACAACTTTCTAACTCAAAGTACAGAGCCGGGGTGGGGGGAGGGAGGGGGTCTATGCCCTAGAGTTCTTACGTAGTCTGTCTGCTAGATACAACCACAGCGTAAATCCACCTCTGCATTCTTTCTCCTCAGGCATCACAGGAAGAGAACAATTATCCTTGCTCACACATGAAAAAAAGATTAACAAGGACTGTAGAGCGGCTGACAGAGGTGATAATGAAACACCAAATATTGAAGAGCACAAACTTCTCGTAATGTTATTTTTAAATTTAGACAAATTGGGATTGATTCAGGGGATCTAAATCAGCTTAGTTTGGAAAAAAATGTATACAGAAAAACTAGGGCTAAGGGTTTAATGTCTGTACCCCTCAGGCAGCCAGCTTCAGTCTCTTCCCTCCTGTCCTCACCTACAAAATGGACCCAATAATATGACATCAGGCTATGGAAACAGCTATGTAAAATCACTTAGCATGAGTGCCTGACATTTTAATACAATCCAGTGTTCACCAATAGTAGTATTTCTAATTACTGACAACTGGGGGAGGCTTAAGAAAGGATGGCGTGAAAAACCATCAAGTCCAGACAATTACTGGCTGGCCTCTGGCAGGGGTCATCATCAAAGGGCGTGGGAGGCTTTCTCACCAAGTGCTCTGCTACATGGCGCCAGAGTAGACACCGTGTACCCATCTCAGCCAGTATTCTGTCAAGTAAGCTGTAAGGGCCCTGGGTGCTCAGTACCATAAAAGCTTCATTTGAAACTCCTGGGAACACAGATGAACAGTTTTCACCTTGATTTAGGAAATGAGAAAGCACACATAGGCACATGTGTGTACATTATGTATTTATACACACAAAGTAAAAATCAAGGCTGAGTTGAAGTTGGGACCTTGAGACTTGTGTGCTCCCTGCCCCACAGCAGCTTCTGTTTACTAGAAACGGCATTCCCTGATCTGCCTACACTGAGGAGTTTAACTGGATCAACTCGATACAATTAAACTACAATAAAGCCAGGAAGAGGACTGTATCCAGCAGGGAGCAAGCCCAGGGGAAAGGATGGTGTGACTCACCAGCTGCCCCTGAGTGATGTACTTCTTCCACCAGAGGTAGGGTCGCATGGAAGGGACAGATGACAGACCATAGTAGGAGTACATGAGGACATGGATGAAGCTGTTGAGTGTAGCTCCAAAATAAGCTGTGCGAACAAAGGGGGTTTGGGAGGAGAATGCATTAGTGTCTTATAAGTAACAGGTGGAAAAACATCCAAGACACTTTTGGAATGAGAGAAGTGCTTCCTAACAGAGGGTGGCAAACACCGCAGCTCGAAGCATTGTGTGATGTGTAATGAGATAGTTTCCACTGGGGCAGGTGGGTGAGCACGCTCCAGGGCACCTCAAACCCAGTGGTCAGCTGGATTTGCCATGACGACTCACACCCCCACAACCTGGCACCTGCTCCTCCTCCCAGAGGCTGCTGACTTTCTTCCCAAACCCAGATGCCTCAGACGTGCCACTCTGAAGCCTGGGGGAGGACAGGTGCTGGACAGCACACTCAAAGCGGGCTGTCTGCACTCCTTTGCTGAGTTTGGAGAAGCCTTTGAAGTTATTAATTATTCCCCAAGTATGCAGTGCTCAAGTTATGGTTTTAACAGAGTCCAGAGTCAGTTCCTTAGGGACAAAAGATTCATTTTATCATGTGACCTTCAATTTCCAGTAGGAATTTTTCCAGTTTTTCCCACTGTCCATCTTCCTCCTTGAATGAATAGTGAAACAAGGCTCCCAGTTTTTCATGGAACACAGGGCTATGTTACAGGACTTTCTACTGCTGGTTATGACAGAATCTGGTCCTGTAGCTTTGGCCAGGTCATGCCCATTCTCTAGTTTTTCATGGGCCAAGTAAAGCTGGTTGTCCTATGAAATACCATGAAATTTTAAATACCCTTCAAATGGAATGACGTGAATGGAGGGGCTGTCTCTACTTTAGCTACTCTCCTGAGGTGATGGGAGAAAAGCATTAGTTCAAGAAGGCGCTCAATCCAACCCTCTGGGGTCTCAGTTTTCTCCCACATCCAAAGATGCTATATTTAGAAAGTCTTCTCTGGTTATGAACCTGATGGAGCTGTGAATCTAGGGGGGCCATGCAATTTGAGGGGGGGGGCGCAACCCAGAGGCAGACCCTAGAAAAAGGGTTCTGTGCCTTTAGGCTGCAGAAACTATCCTTAAAAGTAACCCAGAGTTTTATTCAGAATGTCCCTGCCAAGGCCTATGTTTTGAAGTGTTTTGCCTTTCTCTTCTAGCAGGTTCAGAATTTCAGGTCTTGCACTAAGGTCCCTGATCCATTTCAAACTGACTTTTATGTAAATTGAGAGATCCATCTAGCTTTGCTATTTTACAAGTGGATATCTAGTTTTCTCAGAAACATCTGTTGAAGGGGCTGTCGCACTTTTATTTTTAAATTAGCATTCAAAGTAATGGGTTTTAATTGCAGCGTCTGCATACAAGAGTATCATTATGCTTTGTTCTCAACTGTTCCCTGCCCCCACTGTCCTCCCCGGTGGTCCAGGCCCTCCCCACTTCCAGTTGGTTTCCTTCTTCCCACAGTTATTACCCCTTCTGCCCTTACTATCTCCTACCTCCCTTAGGATCTTTTCATCCCCCATCATGATCCTCTTTCTAGTTTTGCAACCTACAAACACATATATAATTTTATATTTGGGTTCACAAGATAAAATACGCATTGTTTGAGTCTGGCTCATTTCACTTAATATGATTTCCAGGTCTGTCCATTTTCAGTGTTTTTGAGGAAGCTCCATACTGACTGCCATTGAGGCTATATAAGTTTACATTCCCACCATTGAATAAGAGGTCCTCTTTGCCCACATCCTTGCAGCACACATGAACCCAGAGCCTCATGTGTGGCAGCCAAACACTTTACCACTCCTTCCCAGTGGGCTGTTTTCTTGATGATAACCATGCTGACTGGGGTGAGACAGAATCTCAAAGCAGTTTTAATTTGCATTTTCCTGATGGCTAGGTATGTTGAACATTTTTTTCAAATATTTTTTGGCTATTTGTTATTTCCTTTAATAAACTGTATATTTAGTTCAATAGTAAATTTGTTGGTGGATAATTTGTGGGAGTTTTTGCAGTTCCTATGTACCTTAGATGTCTTATAATTAGCGTTTTTGACACTTGTGCCAAAGATTATGTAATAGAGCACACCTTTAATCAAGGCAGAGGCAGAGGCAAGAGGCAGAGGCAGAGGCAGGCAGGTCTCTGTGAGATCAAGGCCAGCCTGTTAGTAAGTTCCCAGCCAGCTGGGGCTACAGGAGACCTCATCTCAAACAAAACAAAATGACTATGTAGCAGCTGTGTGGCTGACTTACGGGGTTTCTACTTTACTGCATTAGTCTACATATCTTTTTCTGTTCCAGTACATTGCTGTTTTTGCTACTATGGCTCTGTAGTGTAATTTGAGATCAGGTATTATGATGTCTTTAGCATTCCTCTTTCTAAGATTTCTTTGTCTAATATATGTGACTTGAAAGCCTAAGAAGGGACTATTTGGGGGGAAGAAGGGAACCAACCAGCCAAGGGTAAAGGGGACATGAGAGGGTAGTCAGGGGACAAATGAGAATGAAGTATAATGATATGAAAATGTCAAAATAAAACCCTTTACTGTGTACGCTAACTTAAAAAAATACAGAAAAAGAAAAAACCTAGACACAAACGCATGTAAAAATCCAGAGACAGCAACTTTCCACTCTATCCTGCTCTCATGTTCCCAAAGCATCCTCTCTTTGTTACTCACAATGGCCGCAGGGGACCCAGTTCATCACAAACCACCAGATGTTGAACATGGAGGCATGGTGGTAGACATGCAAGACTGTGATCTGGTGGTTATTCTTACGCAGGATGAAGAAGAAAGTGTCCATGAACTCTATGAGTTTGGAGAAGTAGTACCACCAGAGGACACGGATGATCTAAGAGCAAAAAGGCAAAGGGTTTATGGTTCATCTTCAACACTTTTCTGACATATCACCTGTGACAGGTTTCACTGACATCCCAGACCAAAATAAAAGCTGGAGTGTCCCACTGAAACACTTTCCCGTGTCAGCAGCTCTGGTCACTGCAAATACCTTTAATCAATGAACATGTTATGCTGGGAGAACTGAGATAACAAGGAAAATCTTCACAGGGTTCCTGATTCTCTTCCACACTCTAACAAGATCAGGATAGTGCACCTATGACCCAAAGCCTTGGGAGGTAGAAGCAAGAGAACCAAGAGTTCAAGGTCATCTTCAGCTACTTACTGAGTCTGAGGCCATAGTAGGCTATAAGAAAACCTCTCTCAAAACAAAACAAAACAAAACAAAGGAAATAATAACAACAAAACCCCAGGCAGCTGAAGTTCAATACCATCTTTATGACCACTGTATGGAAGTAGGCTGCAGAAAGATGCTTTTGGTGACAGGGGTTGGTGTGGAATAGGTAACAAGACACCACAGAAAAAAAGGAATCAGAATTTGTCCCTGGCCCAGTTAATACACCCAAAGCAAATGCCTGCCTGTGTGGACCTTTGCTCATTAGCCTTTTGTTAAAAAAAAAAAAAAAAAATCTAGGCTAGAGAGATGGCTCAGAAGTTAAGAGCACTGGCTGCTCTTGCAGAGGATCTGGGTTCGGTTCCCAGGAGCCACATGGAGGCTAATAACCATCTATGACTCCAGTTCCAGGGGATCCAATGCCCTCTTCTGATTTCTGCAGTCATTGCACGACATGGGTGTGTTTACATGTATGCAGGCAAGACACATACATAAAATTAAAAAGTAAAAAATAGAAGAATTTCAATAAAATCTCAGAGTGGAAGTTGGATTTTACCTTTAATGCCACTATTCAGAAGGCACTTATGACTAAAAAAAAATTTAAGGCATTATTCTTATGACCTTTTATGTAAATATAAAATCTGACAAACATACGATTTCCCTGTAAATTTCAGAGAGGGAGACTTTAGTTCTCATTTTACATCTTTCATTTTTAAATTTTCATACCACGTGCACACTTATTCTTTTCAAAATGTCAACAGGATTTACCTAAAAATGAGTGGGTGTGGGTATGGTCTATTTTGTCTTTTGTATAACTTCTTTATCACACACACACACACACACACACACACACACACACACACACACAAACTTACCCAGTAAGACTACTTAAGAGAAATAGTACCTTCATATCTGATTCTCCTGCGCTGCGTGTGCCCTGACAGAAGAAGTTGTATTTGCCTTCCCACACACCTGTCACCAGCTAAGGAAAAAAAAAAAAACAAAAAAACAACTAGTCACTTACAACGTTAAAACCCAGTTGAACTGAACTTTAGAATTAGAGAAACTTTACTTTGCATTGTGCTGGGGCAAGTCTGCCATAAGGAAAAACAATCGCAGCGAAGTGCAGAGTCTGGAACACCTAGAACCTTTATCCACAAGGTTGGCATGTGCAGGCTGAGGGAGGCTGTTGCCTGTAGAGACCTTCTTCTACTGCTGCCTCAGCAGCATTTCAGCTCATCACCTCTACACAGTCATACCAAGTGCCCAGACCAGCCCAACTCCAGGCTGTCCTACTGTCCCCTCAACCATATTGCCTAAGCCAGGGAGCCTAAAACTTGAGTGCACAGTTTGGAGTCATCAAGTCAGACAGAGACTATCCAGGAGATGGAGGGTAAAATAATTTGTATTTCTAACGAGTTCCTAAGATGCCAGTACCAGAGCTGCTGGTCTGGGGACACACTCTGAATACTGTCAAGGAATAATTTAGGCTATGTTCACCTTCCTCATCACTTCCTATTGCTCTACACTTAGGGACCAGCCACCTGTAGAATTCCTCTGAAGATACTGTGGAGTCACAGAAGGGGCCCTGGAACTCGGGTGCAAGGCTCTTGCTAGAGGCCTGTAGTTAGTTATCCCTGGTTGGCCCACTAACAGGGTCTGCTTCCTCATCAGCACACCATGAGAATGAACCACCTACTTTGAGATGCTCCAACAGTCAGAATGGAAACTTTTTTGACTACTCTATTTCCACACTGTCCACATACCATGTTTCTAACACCTGAGATGCTATTCTATGAAAACTATAGCTCCCTGCGTCTACTTCTACAGTCCAGAACCGTCTTGAGAGTTCCTGATGACTGCCTGGTTCCAGGCAGTGCTTGAGTACAGGCTTTGAGCCTCTTCTCATCTAAGCATGAACTGTAAGGAACCAGCCACAGGTTATGAAGGTGTGGGGCCTTGTTCAGTACCACCAGAAGCACACAGGGCTTTTACAGAAATGCATTAAAAAAAATTATGTTTGTGTATATGTATGTAAGTACAACACATATGTGCAATGCCTGCAGAGGCCAGAAGAGGTTGTTGTATCCCCTGGAACTGGAATTGCAGACAGTTGTTAGCTGCCATGTGGGTGCTGGGAATCAAACCTCGGTCCTCTGGAAATGCAGCCACCTCTCCAGCTCCTAAGAAACGCATTCTTGAACTATCTCACAGCTTCAGAATTTAAAACCCTGGGGTAGATCCCCAGGGCTGGGCCTCTTGGATCACAGACACTTGAGAATCTAATGTTACTGCTTTCAAAGTGTGGTCCCCAAGTAGCTGAAGTGACAGCACCCAAGAATTTGTTACAAAGTCTTGGGCTCTACTCTTATCTAGATCTTGTGACTCCAACATTTCTGGGCTGGAAGTCTAATACATATTGAGACAGGGCTCCAGTAGCCCAGGATGGCCTTGAACTTCTGTTTCTCTTAAAGAATCACTAACACCTGGCCAGGTTATGTCCATGAAAGGAGACCTCAGGGGGCCTCTTCGAAAGTCTCAAGAGAATTCAGAGTGCAGCTCAGATGGGATTAGTGGTTTCTACTGAACTTCAGTGTGAAAATGGACCTCCCAACAGTGTTCAAGGGAAGGTGGCTCAGAGCCAGGAACCAGGAGGCTCCAGCTGCATTCCTACTGCCCTTGAGACAAGAGTCCAGCTCAGTGACCAATGCAGACTCCTTCCGCCAGTAGCAGGTCTGAGCAAGGATAGGAAGACACTGTCACATCTCCATCAATCTAACATCAGAAATAAATGCCACCGAGTGGAGTGTCTGATGTTCCCCAACTTCATTTCTGTTCTTTTCTTCCTTCTAGCTTTGCCCCGTGCAGAGGGCCCCTGCTGAGGAAAGTGTAATTCCTGCGGGCCCACGTGATTTTCCTGTTAAAGGGAGGTCCAACTAAATTATCTGCTGTGGTTCTCTGTTCTACTTTCAATAATTTCTCTGCTAGGGCTTTAAAAACAGACCATGCACAATGCCAGTTTTTCCAGGCAAGCACAGCAAGGTAGTTTATTAGATGTACTATCTTTTCAGTCTTACGCCCTCTCTGAAGGCCAGTTAAGTAGGTCACAGCCAGGTCTATTAGAACTTCTAAGATCCAAAATACAAAGCCAGACTCAGAACAGGACTGGGGGCAGGGTAGAGGGGTGGGCCTGGCATCCTCAGCAGACCCGGCTGGAGTGGTCTGTGCCAGCAGGGTGTATCTGTTCACTGTCCTTCCTCCCACCCCTTGACAGAACTGCTGAACTGTCTTCTGAGATTCAGAAAAGAAATGCTTCTTGCTGAAAATATCACAGATCATGCAGTAATGTTTTCATGGGGATGTGAACAGTGCAAAAGGTACATGAAATGATTATATTCATTAGCAGTATCTTTTGAGGGTTTTTTTTTTTTTTTTTTTTTTTTTTGGTCAACATGATCAAGATTTACTTTTAAGTTCTCCTAAACAGGCCAGGCATGGGACTGATACCTCTGCCTGTTTCGGTGGTTCTGGGGCCTGTCAATCTTTCACCACACTTTCCAGGTACAGAAGTCCTCACGAAGACTGGGCAGGGTCAGACTCCGAGGAGCTGCCTTCATGGAGGGGCAGGACTAGTAGTGAGAGGTGGGGAGGTCATATGTAGCCTAAGAACCTGTTAAGTCCATCAGTATGTGACGGAAGGGTAGATGAGACAAGAGAGCACAACCCAAACAGGGAGCCTAACTCTGGTGGGCAGGACAAGCAATGTTTGGGTCCTAAGTATGAAGGGGGTGAACTGGAGACTTGCCAGTTCTCCCCTCAGGCTTCTGGAAGGGTGAGCAAGACAGGAGGGGCTCTTAGTCCTGAGCAGCTCCACCTCCAGAAGAGGGCTTCAGCCAAGCTGGTGGGGGCCACCATGTCTGCACTGCCTTGCAGACTTGGACCCTGAGATATGGAGAAGGCGCCAGCAGCCTCATCCCTGCTAGACCTTCACTGAGCCTTCTTGGCTGTGGGGACCTAAAGGCCCCACCTTGCATAGGTCCGTCCGAAAGGAAGTTACTGGGGGCATGGCCTTGCTTTGAAAGTCTGAAGAATACTTCTGCACTGCTGAGGTGTGCATGATCAGCGCATGACCATCCTTAAGATACACCCTCGGGGGGGGAAGGGGGAGTTCCAGGTGCCTTTATAAGCTTTGTAACACCTGTAATAAATGAGTCCCTGCTTGACCAGCCTCCCCATTGTGTCTGAGTGTCCCTGGGTATTGGGGGCGGTGTGGGCTGGCGAACAGCGTGCTTACTCATCCCCAACCATCACTGTGCCGGGGGTCGCTGGTTCAAACCCCCGGCAACTGGCACTCAGCATGGCGCTCAAAGGAAGGTGAAAAGAAGAAAAGAAAGAAGAAAGAAGGAAAATGGATTGGGGGCAATCAAGAGGTTTGGGGTAAGCAAGACCCGAAATATGGGTAACACAACTTTTAAGTTTGAAGACCCAGCATTAAAGTGCTGAGATGATATGCTTAAAAGCGGGGGATTGGATTTGTCAGATCCCGTAGCTCAAAAGGTTTGGGCAGAGGCCATTCATTTGGCTCCCTGGCTACTTGGGGCTAATGTTTTTACTGGTGATACATGGGAATCATGGGAAGGGTTTGAGGAAGAAGGCAAAACTGCAACAGAAGTAAAACCAAAAGTGGCCAAAGTAACAAGTGGCACCTCCGGCATGCCCTGGCCAGCTTCAGAGCCTCCTGGGCAGAAGGGTGGGGCAGAGTGGAGCACATTGGGGTTGGTGGTGAAAGCCGCCCATCCCACCCGCCTTGAACTAACAAGTGAGGGGGTCAGGGGGTGGGGCACTGTCCCGGCTGACGACCGGCGCGGGTCCAAAAGTTGGGTGGGGGTTGTACAGCGGCCGCCAGGCACATTTGAAAAACAAAACAAAAGAAAACCACCTTTGGCAGTGTACCGACGGCTGAAAAGGCCTGGTTTGGGGAAGGTGGCTCGGGGAGGGGCCCTGCCCCGTCCGTTCCTGGTGGCCGGTGAACCGCCCCACCCCTGGGGTGCTACAGCCCCTCCGGCAGCAGCACTCACCAAATCCCGCCGAGGGAGCCCTTAGTAAAGCCTACAATGTTTTCACTGACTGTGGCAGATGTGGAGAAACCAAAAAGCAGCTCAATTCAAGGAACTCATGGCCGTTGCGTTCTGACAGTATTCAGACTCGTATGCTCCTTAAAGAGAGAGAAGCCCCTATCTTCTTACAGCATCTTAGGGGGCACCAAGGATTGCCTAGGCTTTTATCCCAAGGCAATGCAGAGGCAGACAAGATGGCTTATTGTGTACAGGTACCGCCTCTGAAACAGCCAGGGGTAAACCCCAGGGGACTCAAGCCCAATTCCTTGTGGCAAACGGATGTCACACACTATGCTCCTTTTGGAAAGCTTAAGTATATTTCTGTGTTCATCGACACATTCTCACATGCCTGTTGGGCTACCGCTCATACAGGAGAGAAGTCTAAACATGATCAGTCTCATTTTCTCCAGTGCTTTGCTATGTTGGGATTGCCCCAAAGAATTAAAACTGATAATGGACTGTGTTTTGTGAGTAAAAATTTACAAGATTTCTTCTCACTTTGGGGAATTCAACACAATACAGGAATTCCCTACAATCCCCAAGGTCAAGCCATTATAGAACAAAATCATCAAAACCTAAAAATTCAATTACAAAACCAAAAAGGGGGAATAAGCCCCCACCAACAGTTGGGTATGGCCTTATTCACTATTAATGTTTTTAATTTTCAAAAAAATCAGTTGGAATCCTGGTTTCAGAAGCATTGGGGATGACAGGAGCAGAGACCTGAGGTACGGGTAAGATGGAAGGACCCCATCACAGGACAATGGAGAGGCCCAGATCCATTGTTAACCATGGGTTGAGGCTTTGGGTGTGTCTACCCTACAGGAGAGTCAAACCCCATATGGGTGCCTGTGAAAAACCTTAA